CCCCAAAACCCCAAAACCCCAAAACCCCAAATATTTCGGGAATATAGAAAGAATATCTTACTTAGTCTTAACATATTTTGGGTCCAAGGAGATCCTTTTTGGCCTTTTGATAGGCTTGTCATAACTTCCTGACATCTCTTTTAAGGTAAAGAGGGAAGACACTAGAGATGAGACAAAGTAATACCGTTCCCGTTTGAGTTCTGAAGCTCGTCCATCTCTTTGCTGATAGAGAGATCAATCAAATATTTTGTTTTAGTTGGAGAAAGAGTTTGTTTCTTGTTTGACTGAGTCATTTTCTTATACGGGCTTTCGTTTCCTCGCATACGTGTATTGCTTACTGAGAGATGATGTCGTAGTTTTGAATCTGATGCAGTTTGACAATAGGCTTTTTGTGTCCCTAAAATTAGAGTATTAATCATAGTTCTTTGAGCATACTTACTCCGAAATTCCGGATTTTTCTCGGAGTAACCAGTTTCATAGTTGATATAAGGTAGATGAACTTGGTTGATTGTAAGAATACTTGCTCAGGGCTTATAAAAATTCTTCTTTAATTTGATTGTTTTATTCCTAATCAGCTTCTCAACAGACTCAGATCTGGATTTCAATTGCTTGCTCTTCTTATGATTACTAAGGACACTCATGTTATTCCTCAGATCCTTTGTATTTTGTCTTCCTAGATATGAATCATTTTCAGGAATAATGCGTAAATTCAGAAAGGAAAATTTATAGAATATCTATTTTTCAGTAAAAGTACTCTTTTAAAAGTAGGAATGTATGACCCTTACCATTATTAGAGTTCCTGCTCATCCTCTTCAGGCCATTCTGAAACTCCTTATTTCAACAAGGCATAATAAGATTTCTTATTGGACCGTTTTAAACTTTTAAGAGTTTTCTCTCTGTTCATTTCATTAAATTTCAAAGTTTTAGTGCCTAAAAATGATGACCAACCAAGAAGTGTTTACCTACTCAGATATTCTGAATCCGAGAAGCCTTTGGAGGATAAAATCCTCTTTTATTTTGTTTCCTAAATTGGTTATCTTGTTATTGATAAAAAGTTGAATAGCTTAAAGTTCTTCGATTAAAAACAAATTTCTAAGATGTTCATTAGATATGACTCCCCTAACCAAATCTGGTACACTTGGATAGAAAAGGGAGTCTTCTAGTGTATTGATCCTCTCAAGTTTAATAAAAGACAGTATCATAATGGAGACATAGGTTTGAATGGAGGTAGAAGAATTAATTTATGATCCAAATTCCTATAGCTCTATCTCTAATATTACTGAAGATACATCTAGGTACCTTAAACTATGTTGTGGAACTTCCCACTCTCTCGTACTTTGGAGTTTTAAAAGTTGAACAACCCAGGTTGATTCTGAATACGGCCAAGGCTCAGATTTTAAATATCTAAAGTATCTCTACTAATGCTAATTTCATTCCATATTGAAGTTACAATCACTGTCAAATTACTAGTTGCTGACTTAATGCAATGTTCCACTATTTGGTGTGCCACTTACATTAGCAAATTGTAATAATCTTTGTTAAATTTAATGAGACCTGAGCTAGTTCCAGCTGATTCCAAGTTCATCACAGAAGAATTTCTACCATTCACAAGCTGTTCATTCTGCGCAATTCTTTTCTTCTTTACTTCTGAAAACCCTCTTAAATCAACAGAATATTGTTTTTCTAGCTTAGAGTCTGAATCTAGATTTTCTAAAGTATTGTCAGAGATTTTGTTTCTAATTTGATAAAATTAATAATGTCCAGCACTTATTAAGTACTAATTTTCAACAGTTTCTTAAGTTTACTTACCATTATCGATGCTGTCGAAGTTCCTTGACTTCTGCTTCTCCTCATGTATATCCTCAATGGTGATATCCTTTTCAAAAAGTTTTGGGTTTATCTGCTTGCACATTTTACTTATAAATCACTCGATGGCTGTGCTATAAAATTGTGTTATGGACTAATTCATCTAAAATTAGAGATGGACAAGTAATGTCATTTATTGAAAATTCTGGGGAGACTGAGAGATTACTTCAGACTAAATTCATCTTAGCGAGTTTCTTAGGGATCACTGCTAACTTCTTATATGCCTTCCTGAGCTCACTGGCTTCTCTAAAATTGCCAAAGAGTTGGCAGACTTTTTCAATCTTTGATTCTATTGCAGTGACTCTCACTTTTCTCTGAGGGGATAACTGTGATTTCATTATATTTTATTTCAATAAATTTTACCACAGATGGGGTTTTGGGGTTTTGGGGTTTTGGGGTTTTGGGG